CAATCTACCTACCACTGGCGGTTCTACAGGTCGCAGGTTCAACTCTTCGAGTTGACGTAGATATTATACACAGGKAAGTTGGGGAACTAGGGATCAAGCCCTGGGATCTGCCTCAGCTACCACGAATTGGTGAATACCGTTTCATTAGTCTATTGTGTTTTTGCTGAGGAGTGTTCAGTTGTGTGGTTGGCTGACATGGTAGACTGAGACAGTGGCCTGTGTTGACCTGTTTGGATGTGTGTTGCCATCTTGATGGCAGTGACAGCCTTGGAGGGCTTTCTCCTGTGCGTGACTTCGGGAAGGGGTTGTCCCCTGTACGGGACTTTGGGAAAGGACTGTCACCGGTACGAGACTTTGGAAGAGGACCGTCGCCAGCACGAGACTTTGGGAAGTTGTTCTCTCCAGCACGGGACTTTGGGAAGGGTTTCTCTCCAGCACATGACTTTGGGAAAGGGCAGATTCCTCCAAGAGAGTTCTCAAGGAGTCCTATCCTGTCAAGAGAGAGAGAAAATGGTGGATGGGAGAGTAATGGGAGAGTGCACATTCGGGAGCAGCAGCCCGTCAGTCAGCCAAAAAGCCAGCCGACAACGCAACCTAAGAGCCAGCCTGGAGCACAGCCAAAGAGCCAGCCCGGTGATCATGAGAGGCCTGTTGAACTGACGTTGCAAAGTGGTGTTCTCAGGACCAACTGCATTGACTGTCTTGATCGGACAAACGTTGCCCAGTATGCATTTGGGCTTTGTGCTCTTGGCCGGCAACTTCATGCACTGGGTCTGACTGATGTTCCGAAGCTGGACCCGGATGGTGGTGTAGCAACCACGCTTATGGATATGTATCAGAACATGGGAGATGCCCTTGCTCTGCAGTATGGAGGCTCAGCTGCACATAACACGGTATGTTGGGCTGCAAAAATCATTTGTTGTTTGTCAATTACATGTCTTGGCTATTGCATTCACTTGATCACATCTGCCTGGCCACCATGTGTGCACTTGCTTCCATGTGTGACACGTGTGTGCGTGTGTGTGTGTGTGTGAGGTATTTGCTTCCGGACTCGGCTTATTGGAAAGGAGTTGGTAAAAGCGAACTTCTGTCTTAAAATCTCATGTTGTGTGTGACCGGAAAACAACGCAGGTGTTCCCCGAGAGGCAGGGAAAGTGGAAAGCGGCGACACAATCAAAGGAGCTATTGAAGTCGATACGACGATATTATAGCAATACGTACACAGATGCAGAGAAACAAGATGCAATAAACCTGTAAGATGCTATCTCAGTTCATTTCCTTCTTGCATGCTTGGTTTTTGCTTTCCCCCCTTCGCTGATGTCTATTGCTAGTGTGTCTTTACCATCCATGGCCTGCTTAGTTGTCGCATGCCAGATAGCGCAGACCAGAACCAAGAACTGACCTCTTAAAAATGGAGCAATGATAACACAGCGGAAGACTGAAATGCCAACAATCAGACCCTATCAATGTCGTGACACAGACTGAACATCATCATCATCATCATCACACGGTGTGAGCGGCCTGGCTCCAGTACACATAGACGAGGGTGCCAGGTCCGATACATACACGGATGAGGAGGAGGGAGGCGGGACGAAGGTGGCGTAGATATGGAGGATGTCGCTAACTCAAAATGCCGTCGATACCGATCCAGAAATAGTCCCACACAATGTCTCTATCCCAATGTCAAGTCTGAATCCAACTGTCACCAAATCCCAATGTTGCAAATCTCTCTCTCTCTCTCTCTCTCTCTCTCTCTCTCTCTCTCTCTCTCTCTCTCTCTCTCTCTCT